TGTGTCGTACATTATGACGTCATTTAATGCCTGGTTATTCTTATCCACACCACCAACGACGATGATCATATGACCCCAAGTGACTGTGGACATGCCAAAAACAGGCTGAGGTAACGATGGACATGGCTTGAACTTATTCTTAGTCAAATCATAAACAACAACGCTGTCAAGAGCATCTTTATTATCGATGGTTGTTGTTCCGCCCAAGATAAATAGTTTTCCATTAACAAGTTCTGCTTTGTGAAATGTTCTTGGCTCGGGCATTCTCTTCAGCCGCTTGGCAGTATAAGGTGGGGTAGGAGCAATCTCATAAATGGCGTTCGATGTTTTTCTTTCTTTTCCGTCACATCCTCCTAATATATATAATTTTCCTTGATAAACTATGACGTCGTGAGCATATAATTTGACAGGCAGTTTACCGTCAAACATTGTCCATCGCAAAGGATGTTGGTTCATCTTCAAAACTTCGATCGTGTCAGTTCCTTCTTTACCATCGAAACCACCAACGACAAAAACGTCATTGTTGTAAACACACGATGCTGATGCTGTTCGAGGATGATTCAATCGTGGCAGCAGAGTTGACTTTCCTTCTACTATGTTGTAATTCTCGACTGTATTTAATACCTTGTCTTCTCCAAGGCCATACCGACCACCAATAATAATAATATCTTGATTATTGACTGGACCTGCGCGATTCATAGCGCTAGCACCATTCTTGTTTGTATTATTTCCTTGAAATGTTTGGTTCATCATCATCATTATTCTCTCAAACTGTTCTTTCATCTCGTGCATACTTTGCTAAATTAAAAATAAATTTTCTTTAATCACGCGAATCAGCCGATAATGCATTCATATCACCAAAGCTTTAATCACCGCCAGTAAGCAGGTCCCATGTAAGTATTAGAGACTTCTGAAGTTATAGTTATATAATTCATTTTATTTCAAAGCTATGAATGACTAAAAGACCTCTCTTACCTTCATCTCTTCCTGATTTCTCTTCATTTCATTCTGACTTGTTTTCATTTCATTCTGATTTGTTTTCATTTCATCCTGTTTTCTCTTCATCTCATCCTGTATACTTCCAATCGCAGTCATTTGAACACTCGTTTCAACCTGACTTGCCTTAATTTCATCCACATTTATCTAAATCAAATTATTAATGTTTTCAGTCAAGCATGTGCCATTAAAATTTTGAACAACAATTCAATCCATTCTAATTTAAAGCAAATATCAACTGAATAGTTAGTCTTACCTTTATTTCATCCTGTTTTCTCTTCATTTCCTCCAGTTTTGTTTCTATCGCAGTAATTCGAACGTTCGTTTCATTGACATTTTTCTAAGTCAAAGTGAAATTGTTATTGAGATGAATTGCGTACAACTCGACAAAATACGAAGTGTAAAAGATATTGAATAAATCCAAACATTTTATTTTTCTGCTTGATTCACCTTGATATTTTTACAGTCGTGACATTTAGCCAGTCTGAATTGACAGAAATTTTTCTCGTGAGTTTCAATATCTCTTCTATTTACCTCTGTATCACATCCTTCATTACGACACATGACAGGACCATATCCACATTCCTCGACATGTTTTGGAAGATGTTCCAGACGAACGTAGTCAGGACATCCTCGTTCATGATGATCACACTTGATTTTCAGACCTTCCCAATAATTCTTCAGAAATCCTGTTGGTCGTCTCAAGGTTTCTTGAGTCAGAGGATCTCTGCAAACTGGACATGTTTGAGAGTTTTGAACGAGATGTCGTGATATATGAGCGAAACAAAATATATGATCTTTGTGTTGGCAAAGTCTGGGATCCTTTGGAACTTCCTGACAAATGGAACAAAGCAGATCTTCGTTGACTTCTCCTTGAAAACGACCCACGTCATAACCTTGCAAATCATCTTCCCATCTCGCTGCCATAGTTCTGCTGGATTAGAAAAAAAGCATCTCAAAATAGTTTTCATGTTTTTAAACCTTCTCAAGTCCAAAAAGGAATAAACGACGTTTTTCAACTGGAGGATTTGAACAAAACTTTGTTCAGTTGAAGTTAAAAACGCTGGTAGTTTCAACTCGCGGACAATTCAGAATATTTGCGTTGAAGCGTTTCACAAATATAACAGAATTCAGTCCTTTCAATAACCTCTGACAGACTGATCTCTTCCTGTGAGGTAACCAGTCAAAGAATCTTTTGATGAAAAATAAATAAAGGGAATATCTACGTTTGATTATTGTATTGTTTTGGTCGGATATAACCGGAACTCACATTCAAGAGGATAGCTAGAAATTCGAAGAATATTTTAACGAAATTAGCATAGAATTGAAAATGATTTCCTGACAAATATCTGGATAATATGTGCAAAAAACTTATCATCTTAGCGTCAAGAAATCTACTCAACTATTCTATATTCACTGTGCAGCATTAACAATTTATATATCAGAACCTCCTTAAGTTGATTATGAAAATATACCATGTCAGCCCATCCCTAACTGAGCATGCGCACTTTGTTCAAACACATTTTAGACCTAGAAAGTCTATCTTAAACGCAATAAACAAAATCACAGCCTTCTTTGTATTTCAACACAAAATACGAGCCTATATTTAACGTAATATATTGTTGTATTCAAGACGATGATTGTCCATCAAATACTTCAGGTAATCTCTTATTTATTATATATTCAAATAAGCCTTGTTTATTGTAGTCATTGCGCGAAGTATTAACTCGCTAGAATCTCTTAGATTTCATGAAAATCACCATTTAAACATTCGTTTATTAAGACTGGATTCTCACGAGATCAGACGAACTCAGAACCGTCCGTCAATTCATTAATTTGGGTCCATTTCTTTCCTCGAGAAATCCTTTGTTAGCTCAGCTTCTGCTCGCATTCTGAACGCGATACTCGGAAGCGAATAATATCCAAACCTCAAACAAATGATACGCACCAATTTGCCTGTCAATGGCGCTGAGTTCGTGCGATCTCGCGTCTGAGAGTTGTCTAAGATTAGGAACAAATCTTGCAAGAAACTTACCAGTGATTTTCACAGCAACAATTCTCGAGTCTTGTTCGTTCTTTGTGTAACACAATCTGTGACGATGACTTTAATATTGCGAAATTATCATGTGAGGAAACTTAACTTGACCTTAAATCACCTCAATTTCCTGGGAAAACATAAAACAATTCTCAACTTATGCTGATATATTTAACAGAAATTGCAATGTTAAAAAAGTTTTCCATTATTAAGAACATATAAACTCAAACTAGTAATTTTAGTAGTCATTTATTTACTAACTTAAAAATAAAAGCTTCAAAATATTGCATTTCTTGTGCACGGAAGTTTTAGTTTCAATATGTCATTCGTGGAAGTTTTATAAATTTCCAAGTAAAACTATACTGAGAATTCAGGCCTAAAGAAATATGAAAGAATTTCAAATATAAATATTTCGTGTCTGCTATAATCCAGTCCACATGTGAATACGTTGAACTTTCAAGTCTACAGTGAGAGTGTTTTACGCCGGGGAATTTTCTGCATCAGATTTTAATATCTGTGAAGAGTCGTGTTTAATGTGGAGATTTTCTCACAGAATAAAAGTGAACATGGCTTGTGTTTCACTTTTATATCAGAATTATCAATTTCATTATTTCTTGTCTTCTGCGCGTGTTTAGCGAAAAAAATATCCCGAAATAAAACGAGATTCCTTAGCGCAATTCCTCAGGCAATACCATTTATCCCCAAACATTCCTCTTCATCATCCGTTGATCCCCAACCCATACCTTACCTTACCTCATGGGTAGCTTTTCAAAGCGCATTTTCTTAGAATGGAAATATTTGGCGATGTATATAACATTATACATGAAAAATTGATTTGATTTAATGAACTTCTACAATGATATTAACATTAGAATTAAAACTATTAACAAACCATGCAAATTGTCTTGGAATAAGAAGGGAAAATATCAGAATGAATATACTGTAGTTGTCTGATCTAACTTTATTTGTTACGAATCATCTGAGATTTTGTTTTATTTACAATTGTTTAGTTCTGACTGAACTCAGTTTCCATATTCTATCCTAGTTTTATAAATGTTCCTTATTATTGTCTTTAATTCTAAACAATTCTCAAATGTTTTAAAGATTAGTTTCAATATCAAGTAATATATACGAATATTCTGTCTTTATCTACAATATTTACAAATACACGCGACTACATCAGTTATATATGATATAATTACCACAATATCATTTTTATTACAAAATATCTTCAATCATCCAGTTTCATAAAAGATCAGTGGTGGTCAGCGGCGCTCAGAGACTTGAAAACCTAATTCATGTAATCATTCACTGATTGTTCATTTATAACTTCGTGTTCATCTCAATCTTGGACAAAATGACAAACTCTTTTACTTCAAATTTTTCATCAAATTCTCCTGCAAATTTCACAAATATCTATTAAGTATTCAAGTGTTCAATCAACTTTATGTTGTGATTCAACATTTGAATATTTTGATATTCATATTATAATTCTTCCAGTCTCATCGTCATGTTATGATTTAAATGAAATTTCTATCGACGCAGAATGAAGGCGTTCAAAACATATCCTAACCTCCTTTATTAAATAATTGAATTTATTCTTTGATACTTTACCTACAGCGGTTTAACTACAGCAGTAGCAGCGCGTCTTTTTTCTATCATTCCTGGCAGTTCTTTCCAGTTATCTCCACCAATGGTGAAAGATTCCACTGAGTTGAGAATTCCCTGCTCCTCATTCCATCCACCAAACACGACAATGACGTCATTCATGATCACGACAGAGCTGTCGATCCTTTTGTGAATCATGGAGGGCAGTCTCTCGCTTCGCCCAGTGTCTGTGTCGTACATCATGACGTCATTTAATACATGATCATTATTATCCACACCACCAACGACGATGATCATATGACCCCAAGTGACTGTGGACATAGCACAAACAGGCTGAGGTAAAAATGGACATGTTTTCATTTTATTCCTTTTCAAATCATAAACAACAACGCTTCGAAGAGCATCTTTACGAAGGCCGGTTGTTGTTCCGCCCAAGATAAATAGTTTTCCATTAACAAATTCTGCTCTGTGATGTCTTCTTGCCTGATGCATTCTCGTCAGCAGCTTGGCAGTATAAGGTGGGGTAAGAGCGATCTCATAAATGGCATTCGATATTTTTCTTTCATTCCCGTCATATCCTCCTATTGTGAATAATTTTCCTTGATGAACTATGACGTCATGACCAGATAATTTGACAGGCAGTTTACCATAAAACATTGTCCATCGAAAAGGATGTTGGTTCATCCTCAAAACTTCGATCGTGTCAGTTGCTCCTTTACCATCGTAACCACCAACGACAAAAGCGTCATTGTTGTAAACACACGATACTGATGCTGTTCGAGGATGATTCAATCGTGGCAGCGGAGTTGACTTTCCTTCTACTATGTTGTATTTCTCGACTGTATTTAATACCTCGCCACTTCCTGAGCCATACCGACCACCAATAATAATAACATCTTGATTGTTGACTGGACCTGTCTGATTCATAGCGCTAGCACCATTCTTGTTTGTATTATTTCTTTGAAATGTTTGGTTCATCATCATCATTATTTTCTCAAACTGTTCTTTCATCTCGTTCATACTTTGCTAAATTAAAAACAAATTTTCTTTATTCACGCGAATCAGGCAATGATGCATTGATATCACCAAAGTTTAAATCACCGGCAGCAATCTTACCGCTAGAAATGTTTCTACGCCGAGTCAAGGCTTAAGTCCTGGGGAGAGTAAGCAGGTCTCGGGTAAGAAAAGTATTAGCCACTTCTGAAATTCATCATGAATTATCCGGATACAAGATTAAGAAATGAATGACTAAAAGACTTGTCCTACCTTCATCTCTTCCTGATTTCTCTTCATCTCATCCTGTTTGTTTCCAATCGCAGTCATTTGAACATTCATTTGAACCTGACTTGCTTTAATTTCATCCACGTTTTTCTAAGTCAGATTATTAATGATACCAATTTTTCAAAACTAATTCAAATCAATTAAAACCTAATTTTCATTGAATAAATATAAATTAAATTAAAACAAATAATAACTGAAAGATTTGTCCTACCTTCATCTCATCCTGATTTTTTTTCATTTCATCCTGATTACTCTTCATCTCATCCTGTTTACATCTAATCGCAGTCATTTGAACATTCGTTTGAACCTGACTTGCCTTCATTTCATCCACGTTTTTCTAAGTGAGATTATTAATGATACGTTTCAGATTTCATTTTTCAAGTACGATTTAATTTTTCCTAAATTGCTCCGAATTTAAAACAAAAAATAAGTGAAAGACTTGTCTTACTTTCATTTCATCCTGATTTCTTTCTATCGCAGCCATTCGAACATTTGTTTCATCCACATTTTCCTGAGTCAAAATAGAATTGTTATTGAGATGAACTGCGTACAACTTGACAAAATATGAGTGTAAAAGACATTGAATAAATCCAAACATTTCATTTTTCATTTTAACTTACCTTGATATCTTTACAGTCGTGACATTTGTCCATTCTGAATTGACAGGAATTTTTCTCGTGAGTTTCAATATCTCTTCTATTTACCTCTGTATCACATCCTTCATTACGACACATGACAGGAGCATATCCACATTCCTCGACATGTTTTGAAAGATGTTCCAGACGAACGTAGTCAGGACATCCTCGTTCATGATGATCACACTTGATTTTCAGACCTTCCCAATAATTCTTCAGAAATCCTGTTGGTCGTCTCAAGGTTTCTTGAGTCAGAGGATCTCTGCAAACTGGACATGTTTGAGAGTTTTGAACGAGATGTCGTGATATATGAGCGAAACAAAATATATGATCTTTGTGTTGGCAAAGTCTGGGATCCTTTGGAACTTCCTGACAAATGGAACAAAGCAGATCTTCGTTGACTTCTCCTTGAAAACGACCCACGTCATAACCTTGCAAATCATCTTCCCATCTCGCTGCCATGAATATGATCTTTGGCAAAATCTGGGATGTTTTAGTGCCTCTTAGGAAAAGAATAAAGTAAAACCATGTCTAACTCGACTTTAAAACAGACTAAATTGAATCATGCAAATTCTAGGACGTAGCGAAGTACTTATTGCTTCCTAAACATCTTATATCAATTCCTACGGCGTATTCTGAAACCTGCGGAGGTCTTAATCAAAACCCTTTTGAAATTTAAATCAATTTTAGGTCTTGATCAAAACGTGGTCAGGTTCTGGAGCGTGATCAAGTTCTGGAGCGTGATCAAGTTCTGGAGCGAGATCAAGTTCTGGAGCGTGATCAAGTTCTGGAGCGAGATCAAGTTCTGGAGCGTGAAAGTTCTGGAGCGTGATCAAGTTCTGGAGCGTGATCAAGTTCTGGAGCGTGATCAAGTTCTGGAGCGTGATCAAGTCCGGGAGCGTGATCAAGTTCTGGAGCGTGATCAAGTTCTGGAGCGTGATCAAGTTCTGGAGCGTGATCAAGTTCAAATTGAAATTCAATCATGCAATGGTTGATAATGATTTACCTAACAAGTTATATGTCGCTAAAGACAGAATTATGTAACTAAAAACAGAATTTACCATGCAGAGACACTCGATCAATTTCCCTCCCTCTCGCATGATGGTTAATGAAAGCAATGTCTGTGAAATATTCGTAAAAACCAGTCAGGTAGGAATTTAACTCTTACACTTCCTGCTTCTGCTGTGTAATTGTTTGGTTATTTTGATGTTTCTATAATGAAGTCTAAAATTATTTACAAAATAGGGTTCTGTGTTATTGAGAAGAGAGCAGAATTTATATTTTTAAGACCTAACTGAGGTAGCAGTTGAGAAATATTGAGAAACTGTCGGTTCTTTCGCAGAAATCGAACCTACGTCCTGTACGACGGACTTCAAAGTATATAAATTCCCCCTCGATTTTCTATATGTAAGCTCATCGAAGACAGGAAACTCGTCTGATTTTTCCCGTCTAAACAGACGGGTAAGTTGGACGGGAATCCTGTCTGGACGAGAAACTCGTCTTAAATTCGCATTTAGACGGATAAATCAGACGAGTTTCTGAAATATCAACACGGTCAAGGACGGAACAAGGGTAAAGCCCGCCGCACAAGAGAGCTATCGGCTGAGCTAACGACCTCGCGAGGCAGTTAACTCAGCCTGAAAACTATCCGCACACGATAGAAACTTGCCTCTCGAGGCGAATTCCTCACGAAAAACTATCCGCACACGAGAGTAACTTGCTGAGCTAACAGCCTCGCGAGGTCTTTACCTCAGCTACCAGCTCTCGTGTGAGGCGCGCTTAACTGAGAAAATAAACAAAATTATTATCGTAATAATCACGATACCCTTCAAGGACGGAACAAACTATACCCGACGAGTTTTTACCATAATTCGGCTATTTATCTCTTGAACGAAATTCCCGAAATTAGAACATACAAGTTAGAAGTTTTAGAAGTTAAAGTTGAGCCTTATTCTGATAATTACAAGACTATTAAGTCTAAGGTTAACGATATACCCTTTAGTGTTAGACAAAGAAAAGTGTAAAAGCTCATTTAAACGATGCGATATCTCGAAGCCACTATTGACTGTGACAAATCATGCAGCTTTGAATGATTAAAAATGAATTAAACTTACGAAAGATGAAGGATTTTACCAATTTTTTCAACCGTGCAAGTTGATTTCAACGATGTCAATAATATTTTATGCTGAACAGCTGAAGACAACTCCTTTTTGCCACGTCTCAATGTTTATGTTTTGTTAATCGCATAATTTCATGGTAGACTTGATCTGTTTCCTTATATGGGTATAACTGCTTCGTTTTCACAATACCATTTTGCCATCCTGCTGTGAGAATTTCAAATATCTTCAGACATTTGCATTTTTTTGCTATTCCAAGTATCAAATTGATATTCCAAGTATTTTTGAATGCTTCATTTATTTTTGGGGAAATATTAAGATTTTTGAGGTCTCTGGTTTGTGAGTCTCATCTTTCATCCACAAAACACCTTCGTTCAATCACAATAAACTAGTTATGATTTAGTTCACTTCTGTTTTTGTCCACCCATTGTTGTCTATCTTGTTAACGTAGAATATTCCGGAAAATGATATATTCGACCAGGGTTGAGTATAAGGTCCATTATACTAAATATGGTATATTCGAACTTGATAAAGTCGAATATACCGGAATATGGTGTATTCGACCTGGTCCAAGTTGAATATACAAAATAAGGTATATTTACCCTTGTTAAGGTCCAATATACCAGACATCTGGTAACAGCAGGGACCGCGAAGCAGTTTTTGGATGGGGGGGGGGGGCTAGCGAGCGCCAAAGATGTGAGCCTTTGGGGGACGGTCTGACCTAACGTTACTTGTTACGAATCATCTGAGATTTTGTTTCATTTACAATTGTTTAGTTCTGACTGAACTCATCGTCTATATTCTATCCTAGTTTTATAAATGTTCATTATTATTGTCTCTAATTCTAAACAATTCTCAAATGTTTTAAAGATTAGTTTCAATACCAAGTAATATATACGAATATTCAGTCTTTATCTACAATATTTACAAATACACGCGGCTACATCATTTATATAGATATAATTATCACAATATCATTTTTATTACAAAACATCTTTAATCATCCAGTTTCATAAAAGATCAGTGGTGGTCAGCGGCGCTCAGAGACTTGAAAACAAAATTCATGTAATCATTCACTCATTGTTCATTTAAACTTCGTGTTCATCTCAATCTTGGACAAAATGACAAACTCTTTTACTTCAAATTTTTCATCAAATTCTCCTGCAAATTCACAAATATTTATTAAGTATTCAAGTGTTCAATCAACTTTATGTTGTGATTCAACATTTGAATATTTTGATATTCATATTATAATTCTTCCAGTCTCATCGTCATGTTATGATTTAAATTAAAATTTCTATCGACGCAGAATGAAATGCGCTCAAACACATCCTAACCTCCTTTATTAAATAACTGAAATAATTCTTTGATACTTTACCTAGAGAGGTTTAACTACAGCAATAGCATTGCGTCTTTTTTATCATTCCTGGCAGTTCTTTCCAGCCATCTCCACCAATGGTGAAAGATTCCACTGAGTTGAGAAATCCCTGCTCCTCATTCCATCCACCAAACACGACAATGACGTCATTCATGATCGCGACACAGCTGCCCTTCCTTTTGTAAATCATGGAGGGCAGTCTCTCGCTTTGCCCAGTCTCTGTGTCGTACATTATGACGTCATTTAATGCCTGGTTATTCTTATCCACACCACCAACGACGATGATCATATGACCCCAAGTGACTGTGGACATGCCAAAAACAGGCTGAGGTAACGATGGACATGGCTTGAACTTATTCTTAGTCAAATCATAAACAACAACGCTGTCAAGAGCATCTTTATTATCGATGGTTGTTGTTCCGCCCAAGATAAATAGTTTTCCATTAACAAGTTCTGCTTTGTGAAATGTTCTTGGCTCGGGCATTCTCTTCAGCCGCTTGGCAGTATAAGGTGGGGTAGGAGCAATCTCATAAATGGCGTTCGATGTTTTCTTTCTTTCCGTCACATCCTCCTAATATATATAATTTTCCTTGATAAACTATGACGTCGTGAGCATATAATTTGACAGGCAGTTTACCGTCAAACATTGTCCATCGCAAAGGATGTTGGTTCATCTTCAAAACTTCGATCGTGTCAGTTCCTTCTTTACCATCGAAACCACCAACGACAAAAACGTCATTGTTGTAAACACACGATGCTGATGCTGTTCGAGGATGATTCAATCGTGGCAGCAGAGTTGACTTTCCTTCTACTATGTTGTAATTCTCGACTGTATTTAATACCTTGTCTTCTCCAAGGCCATACCGACCACCAATAATAATAATATCTTGATTATTGACTGGACCTGCGCGATTCATAGCGCTAGCACCATTCTTGTTTGTATTATTTCCTTGAAATGTTTGGTTCATCATCATCATTATTCTCTCAAACTGTTCTTTCATCTCGTGCATACTTTGCTAAATTAAAAATAAATTTTCTTTAATCACGCGAATCAGCCGATAATGCATTCATATCACCAAAGCTTTAATCACCGCCAGTAAGCAGGTCCCATGTAAGTATTAGAGACTTCTGAAGTTATAGTTATATAATTCATTTTATTTCAAAGCTATGAATGACTAAAAGACCTCTCTTACCTTCATCTCTTCCTGATTCTCTTCATTTCATTCTGACTTGTTTTCATTTCATTCTGATTTTTTCATTTCATCCTGTTTTCTCTTCATCTCATCCTGTATACTTCCAATCGCAGTCATTTGAACACTCGTTTCAACCTGACTTGCCTTAATTTCATCCACATTTATCTAAATCAAATTATTAATGTTTTCAGTCAAGCATGTGCCATTAAAATTTTGAACAACAATTCAATCCATTCTAATTTAAAGCAAATATCAACTGAATAGTTAGTCTTACCTTTATTTCATCCTGTTTTCTCTTCATTTCCTCCAGTTTTGTTTCTATCGCAGTAATTCGAACGTTCGTTCATTGACATTTTTCTAAGTCAAAGTGAAATTGTTATTGAGATGAATTGCGTACAACTCGACAAAAACGAAGTGTAAAAGATATTGAATAAATCCAAACATTTTATTTTCTGCTTGATTCACCTTGATATTTTTACAGTCGTGACATTTAGCCAGTCTGAATTGACAGAAATTTTTCTCGTGAGTTTCAATATCTCTTCTATTTACCTCTGTATCACATCCTTCATTACGACACATGACAGGACCATATCCACATTCCTCGACATGTTTTGGAAGATGTTCCAGACGAACGTAGTCAGGACATCCTCGTTCATGATGATCACACTTGATTTTCAGACCTTCCCAATAATTCTTCAGAAATCCTGTTGGTCGTCTCAAGGTTTCTTGAGTCAGAGGATCTCTGCAAACTGGACATGTTTGAGAGTTTTGAACGAGATGTCGTGATATATGAGCGAAACAAAATATATGATCTTTGTGTTGGCAAAGTCTGGGATCCTTTGGAACTTCCTGACAAATGGAACAAAGCAGATCTTCGTTGACTTCTCCTTGAAAACGACCCACGTCATAACCTTGCAAATCATCTTCCCATCTCGCTGCCATAGTTCTGCTGGATTAGAAAAAAAGCATCTCAAAATAGTATTTTCATGTTTTTAAACCTTCTCAAGTCCAAAAAGGGAATAAACGACGTTTTTCAACTGGAGGATTTGAACAAAACTTTGTTCAGTTGAAGTTAA